GGCTGTGATGTAGGCGGGAGGTTTGGAGGGGTTGTTGGGTTCTGGTGTGAATTGCCCTCAATACATGCCCGCGGTGTCCGACCGCTGTGTGACCCCCTCCTGCCCTTCCCACCATCCTCCTCCTCCCAGCCCATCCGGGACGCGGCACGAACGCACTTGTAGATGGAGAGCTCCTGGTGGAGGCTGGTCCTCAGCTCCTCCAGCTCCTGGTTCTTGCGCTGCTGGAGCTGGACCCCGTTCTTCAGCTCCTTCAGCCTGTCCTCCAGCTCCTCCACCTGCTCCTGGCGAGTAAGACAAGACTGGATTAGCTGGGGCTGTCCTGGTGCCTGCGCTGGCTGCTGCCCACGCGCCCTGGGGGGTTCTGCCTGCCGACGGCGCCGGTCCAGACGAGCGCGGGCAGGCTGAGGGATGGCCAAGCTCCGTCAGAAAAGCCTCTGCAGAAGGGCTTTGGCTCGTTGCAAAGGTGGGAACTTGGCCAGGGTGGGGGACCGTTGGGTCCTTGGGCTTCTCCCGCCTGGTTGGTTTTGTCCCCAAGACTGCGGCGTGTGTTTGGAGAAGCTGTCAGAACTGCATAAACCTGGGAGTCGGGACGAGATAAACACGGGATTGGGAAAAAAGAAAATGTGGAGGCACCTCGGGGATGCCCTGAAATCCTGTCCCCTGAGGCTCAGTGGGCCCTGAGGTCCAGGATGAGCAGTGTCATGGGCGCTGGGGACCCAGTCCCCGGCTCGGTGGGGAGCAGAAGTGACGGAGGGGGGATGCCAACTCCCAGAACCTGCTCAGAGCCAGGCTGGGAGGAGGCAGCGATTGTGAGCCAAGAACAGGGGAATGGGTGAGATTAGCTGTGGAGCCTCTTTGCCAAATGTGCTCTTTTGGATATTGAATTGCTGTTTCTCTCAGGACGAGGTGCCAGGGGTGGGGGCGATGCCTGGCGCAGCCAGCAATAACCCCCTCGGGAGGCAGCCCAGCCCCTGGGCGGTGGGTGTGGGAGGTGAGACCCTTCCTGGCCGTGGGAAGGGCAGGATCTGCCCCGGTGGGGCTGGGCTCTTGGAGAAAAGCCCCCTCGTTTCAAGCTGACGTTTCCAAGCACCTCAGCCCAGCGAGGTGCCGTGGAAACGCGCTGTGCCTGTGCTGGGCTCTGGGAAGGAAAACCCCGGCCCCGCCACCTCGCTGGTGTTTCCGAGGGGCAGGTCAAAACCAAGGGAAAATATCATCAGGAGAGAGTTGGGATGCGTTTAGCTTTAGCCCACGGGAAGTATTCCACCCCGTCGCCCTCCTCATCCACCCCGCTCCTCCCTCGCCCCTACAAGCAAGACCCTCGGCATCCAGCTATAAACGGCGACTCCCACCCTCTAAACAAGGGGACG